CTACCACTACCACTACCACTACCACTACCACTACCACTACCACTACCACTACCACTACCACTACCACTACCACTACCACTACCACTACCACTACCACTACCACTACCACTACCACTACTACTACTACTACTTCTACAACAACTACTACTACTGCTGCAACGGCTACGGCCACTGCTACTGCTACTCAGTGCTACTGTATTAATGGCTAACTTGTTTTGAATATTTCTAGACTTGGACGAATGTGCTTCTGATGACCATGACTGCAACGTCAATGCTGTTTGCCAAAATACCCCGGGCTCATACACGTGCTCATGCGAAGCCGGATATACAGGAAACGGACGAACCTGTGTTGGTAAGATTTGAAGATGTTTTGTTAACGTCCCATACACAAAAAAAATTTCTTAACGGGGGTACTACTACTACTACTACTACTACTACTACTTCACCATTTCAAATCTCTGTATTCTATTGACCCGACGAATTCCACGCATGAACATGAAATCCATAGGGAACTAAATTCTTTAGAACACGAAAAGGAACAGTTTACCCATTTCGATTATGTGATAACTGAGAGGGAAGTACGTCAAGCGGCGAATAAATTGAAAAATAAGAAATCACCATTTGTTGACAAAATACGAAATGAAATGATCAAAGCAAGCCTTGAACCACTAATGCCTGTCTATGTCAAACTTTTTAACCTCATTTTACAATCCGGAAAAATGCCAGATGTCTGATGTCAAGGCCTTATAACCCCAATTTACAAATCTGGTGACGTTTGATCCAACAAATTACAGAGGCATATGTGTTTCTAGTTGCCTTGGAAAACTGTTCTATTCTATTTTAAATCGAAGACTTCACTTGTATTTTGAGGAAAATAAGATATAACATAATTCCCAAATTGGCTTTTTGCCTGAAAACCGCATTGCAGACCATGTTTTCACTCTAAGGACCCTAATAGATAAATATGTGCATTATCACAAGGAAAAAGTTTGTACGCTTGTTTCGTAGATTTCCGTAAAGCTTTTGACTCTGTTTGGCACGAAGGACTGTTTTATAAGCTGCTAAAAACGAATATAGGGCGAAATTTGAACAACCTCATGCAAAGCCTTTATTGCAACTCGACATGTTCCATCAAAATCGGTGAAAACAAAACTCAGCCTTTTTCATATTCCAGAGGTGTACGCCAAGGCTGTATTTCAAGCCCTCTTTTATTTAACCTCTATTTAAACAAGCTGCCACACGTATTCGAAAACACGTTATCTGACCCATTCGTTCTTCCAAATGAGAAAAACATAAATTCACTTTTGTACGCAGATGATTTAGTTATTCTATCAAGATCGAAAAACGGATTACAGAACTGTTTAAATGCGCTTTCCTTGTATTGTGACAAATGGAAGCTAAAAATTAATCCCAAGAAAACAAAAATTATAATATTCCAGAAACGCCCAAAGTAATCCATTGACATCAAATTCAACATAGGCAGCGAGTCAATTGAAATTGTATTGTATTCGGAAGCAGACAGTTCTTAATAAACTTAATTCTAATACCGCATCCCAAATTTTTGACACAATGACATTCCCAATCTTAAGTTACAACAGCGAGGTATGGGGAATGTACACCAACCAAGATTTTAAAAAATGGGATAGCCCCAACAGCAAAAATTTATTCACCTCAAATTCTGTAAACGCTACTTAGAAGTTAACAATAAGGCCTCTAACATAGCTTCCAGAGCTGAACTTGGTAGATTGCCGCTGCTTAACCCGATAAATCAAAAAATTATGAAATATTTTGTTTATCTAAACAACAAAGATAATGACTCTATAGTCAAACAGTCTTTTCTTATGTCAAAGAATCTACACTCTATGAATAATTCCGGATATCATTCCAATTTCATAAACATGTTTGAACAATACAATCTAACCAGTTTAGATACAGAATCTTTAGATCATGATAAAATTAGACTAAATACCACAGAAATGAGAGAGAAATATCTACCTTTTTGGCGGCACAGCAATGAAAATTCAACAAAAATAGAATTTCATAAAACTTTTAAAGATGAATTTTCTACACCTGATTATCTCTACCAGCTAAGACATTATGATGAACGACGAAAGTTTAAAATAAGTAATCACAAACTTCTGACTACTACCACTACTACTACTATTACAGCTACTGCTACTGCTACGGCTACGGCTACGCAGGGGCGTAGCTACCTGTACGCACGGTACGCACATGCGTACCTGAAAAAGTCGAGGGTGAAAAAAACTGATAATAATAAAATGGGATACGAAAGTGCATAATGAAAAAAAAAAAGATAAGATAGGTAAAATATAATTATTTTACGTTCACAGCGGGTGGCTCAATTCATTTAACAACGGACTGTTTAGTTTGTAGTGTTTCACCCGAATGTCGGCTTCCAAAAAAGAGACGTTATTCATAAGTGGACCGAATCTTCACTGATACATTTAGAGAAACAGTGAATTTAGAGAGGCGCAAATAGCTAGGCTGGATGGAATAAAGAGTACACGCAATGTTTTCACTTCGGCCTGTCTTCGCACTACTATATCAACGTAGCTTGCTTGCCTTCGTCGGTCAAAAATAATGTGGCAAATAGCTGTAAAAGAATCACTTGTTTGCAAATAAAAGTCTGAAATACAACTAGATTGTTCGCGTCAGCGCTACGGTTACAACAGAGGATTCACAAAAGTTCCGGATTCAGAATTCCGGATTTATTACAATGAGGGTAATCGGATCACTTCGAAAGCGTTCATTCTACTAAAAACGCGACGACGAAGAAGATGGCAACGAGAGCAACGTCAAAAAGCAGAAAATTTTTAAAAGATAAACAACAAATTTTGCATATGTAGCACTCTTGTTGTTACATTTCTTTCGGCCGTCCCTACAGAACCACGAAATTAAATTTTCTTTTGCGACGTTGTTTGGAGGAGGTGAAAATAAACACACGATGATAAATTTTCTTTCTCAGTTCAAGCTTGGATGCGATTCACAAGGATTAAACTCTTGTGAAATGCACCTATATTTGCTAAGTTGGAATAAACGCGGAAAAGTTTGAAAAAACGCGATTTCGTTTTAATAGTGATATATTTGCTACCCCCGCCATCGGTATTTTTATAGCAACCTATACTCATGAACATGATAGTTGGTTTTACCGGAAACTCGTATGATCGAAGGAGGAAATTCAAAGTATTATGATTCGTTGGAAGAATTGTTTATTAACACTGCTGATTCAAAAGTAATTAGACACAAAGTATTCACTTTGATTTCGGATTCAAAATGTCCGGAGGCTTCACCAAACCGGGACGTTTTATATTTTTGGATTCACGCATCTGCGCTTGTTGAACGAAAGCCTTAAGTTATGAAAAGCGATTGACGTGATTCAGTAAATGAATCCAAAAAAGACGATCAAGAATTTTTCAGATTACTTAGTTATGTCATTTCATATACAGTGAAAACGCTTAGGCTTTAATACGGTTACCTTACCTTTGGGGACATTCGGCGGGAGGGGGGATCTCTGAAAATATCCTGGCTACGTCCCTGCGGCTACAGCTATGGCTACGACTACTGCTACTGCTACTCAGTGCTACTGAATTAATGGGTAGCTTGTTTTGAATGTTTATAGACTTTGACGAATGTGCTTCTGATGACCATGACTGTGACGTCAATGCTGTTTGCCAAAACACCCCAGGCTCATACGCATGCTCATGCAAAGCCGGATATAGAGGAAACGGACGAACCTGTGTTCGCGGTAAGAAGAGACATCGCTTGAAACCTAACATTGAAAGCTACTAAGAAACACACTGTCCTGGTTGTTTTGGCTCATGACAATGCACTTATTCTAAGAAGTAGTAACAAAATTTACTCATTTGTCATGGTCTGATTTATAGCCCGCAAGGAAAACTCGGAAGCGTTCTGGGTGGCTAATAAGCCCTTCTTGAGTGGGACAAGCGATAAACCTTGTGCTGCGCCTCAGTTTAACTGATGATGATGGTGATATTTACAAACTCGTTTTTAAAGGTTGTCAGCCTGTAGGAGTAGCAGACCCTATGAGGATTCCAAATGTTCAAATGACGGCCACCAGCTACTGGAGTACAAGTTATTACCCATACTATGGTCGACTCAATGAAACTCGAGGATATGGAGCATGGTGCCCAAGAACCCGACAAGGTCCCAGAACAGACTATCTTCAAGTTGACATGGGTACATTTCGATCTGTCTGCGCAGTAGCAACGCAAGGAGCAAAACACATTAATGAGTGGACAGCAAGCTACGTTTTACGCATGTCGACAGATGGAATAACTTGGAACCCCTACGAGGAGAACAATGCTGAGAAGGTAAGATAAAGGATCGTGACTTTATGCCGTTTTATCTTGACACAAACTGGACATAAGAGAAATTAGTAAAATCCAACTAGTGGTCTATTATCAATGCTGCGTTCTCAATGGTTGAGCTACTACTAGCTATACCGTAAAGTTCCGAAAATAAGCCCCGCGGCTTATATTTTAATCAAAGGCTCTTTTTTGAGGGGCTTATGTACGGAGGAAAATTTGCGTTTCAAAATCGATTGGGCTAGCTTGTAATGGGAAGGAAATTTACCATTATTGCATTGTTTTACTTTGTATTCGAGGGCAAATTCCAAGTACAAGCCCCCCGGGGGACTTATACTCGGAAGGGCGATTTAACTGAGAGTTTTTTGATTTTGGGGGGCTTATATATGGAGGGGATTATTTTCGGAATTTTACGGTATGTTATGGCCCACTAGCAGCGAAAAGCGCCGGCTTTGAAAACCAAAACAATGGTGACTGAATCGCATTTTGCTAGCTAATGTTGTTTTGTCTCAATATTTTTGACCAACTAGTTAGATTTTACTAAAACAATTATTCCTCTCGCCCTTGACTCAGAGTCCATTCGGGCTCGAGGAATAATTGTTAAATATACGCATCTAGTTCACGTATTCATCGCATAAATGTAAGAGAATAAAATCAAGAAATGTGAGCAGTCTATTTTTCAGGTTTCACAGAAAACGTGTTTTTAAGACATCCTAGAAAATTCCTAGGTTTTCTATGTTAAACTAGCAGTAAGCATTGTTCATTTTTCTTCTATGGGATTTAGGATTGTGAAACCATTTAAGCTAAATAATAATAATAACAATTTATTTATATAGCGCTTATTCTTTAAGAGTCCACAAGCGCTTCACATTGATAAGAAATTGAAAATTGCCTTAAAAAATATGATATAACTCAAATAAAATCTCAAAATCTTGGGACCAATCTCTAGCATACGTTTATGAAAAAGCTATTATGTTTCACATTTTAATTCCCAGGTGTTCCAAGGAAACACAGATCGACAAACGATTGTGAAACACTCCTTTCCTACTGCCGTGGAAGCCAGATTTGTCCGCTTTTATTACGTCACCTATTACAGCTGGCCTGCCATAAGAGTAGAAATATATGTTTATTAGACTGAGCCCTTACGCGGTTTTCGTAATCTTGCAATTGAAGACTACAACAAGCTACCGTAAAGTTCCGAAAGTAACGACTCCTCGAAAATAGCAAACTTCGGAGAGCAGCGATAAAATGTCACAGGTGTTAGCAAATCCCTAAAGTAGCGATCCCCCTGAAAATAACGACCCTTCGAAAGTAGAGACTTCAAAACTAATTTCCCTTTTTGCCAAAAATGACGGCTATGGTGGACATCCTGAACAAATTAAATGCCACACTGATCCGAGGTTTATATTAATAATGATTATTTGACATTCCTATTCATAACCCTTAAAGTACAGGACATACATTACCTTTTTTTCAAAAAGTATTCCTTTCACATTTTTGCGATTTTGTTTTTCGAAGTGCCCATGGGGAGTGCACGTTTTAGCCACCCGAAAGTAACGAGCCCCTGATAGTAGCGATATCAGAATTCGAAGGGTGCTAAATCCGAAAGTAACGATGTTCCGTTACTTTAGGAACTCTACGGTAGCTCATTCATTAGTTAGATATAGTTAATATGATCTTAAACTGGAATTACTACAACGCTAAAAGTAAGATCACTTTTGATCGGATTGAAATATTAAGTAAGAAGTGGGAACAAGAGAAGATGTACCGACTCAAAATTATTGTGCAAGAAGAAATAACTGAATCTCTTATTTCAAATCATCCAAAAACAGGACAAAAATGTTGATACCGGATACGTCAAAAAAAATAAAATGTCGAGAGTTTAAGGACCTTTAACTGATGGGCAAAAAATAGAAATAGGGTTCATCAGCAACCAGATAGGACACGAAAAGTCGTCATGTACGAGCAATGTGACTCTCCCCGTAAAAGGTTTTAGCTAGTAAAATTCAGTTTCACGTTAAAATCAGTATTGACCACTAACGGCTGAGAATTTCTATTTTTACGCCTGACCCCAAACGTCTTTGCCGTTTTTACGGCTACTGGTTAATTTAACCCACTTGAGAGTCTCTGACCTGAGATGATTTATAAGACCACTTCTAATTTTTGAGTAAATAAAAGAAAACATTCGTATATGCCTGGATACTTCTTCTGTTTCACGGGCTGTTTATGATTGATCAAGTCAACTTTTTTCCCCACGGTTAATCATTCAGGAATTACACAATACGTTATAGTATACAGACTTACAGTGTGTATCACTCTGATTTGTAATAAAAAAAAACATGATTTGTAATATCAACCGGATTTGTATTGAAAATAAGTAATAACAACAGGATTTGTAATAAAAATCAACGTTATATTAGCCGGTATAACAGGCGCTTTATGAGCCAGGCGAAGCGAACGCGGCATTTTGTGCGAAGCGCGAGACGAGGGGAGAAGAAAAATAAAGCGACTGTTACCAGTCCATCGTTCTGGCTCTTCCGCCCACCGACGCCTACAAGTATCGACTGACGGCGGTGATGTTAAAAGCACCAATCAAAACACGATCCATTACTCAAAAATTCTAACCTTTCTTGCTACCAGAAACACTGACAACAGCATAGAACACAGGAAAAATAATGTAAGACTCAGTGCGGCAAAAGTAAGATTTGCTCAGTCAAAGTTTAGTTATATATGTCCAAACACAGCGGCGAGAAAGAAAAGAGGGAAAACGTAAATTCCAAGATCACGAGCTTATGAGTCGTGTTTGGCCTGTCAACACTTAATTTAAAAACGTTAGTAAATCAGGCTTTTTCCTAACCTACTTGGAAGCCATCCAAGAACGTCTTTTCTCTTAAGCAATAAATTTAAACATTTCTTTTGTTTTTCTTTTATTTCTGGAACATTTGGAAAAAAACGAAAGATTTTTCGAACAGCATCGTCAAAAGAACATGAATGTGTGACGGTTATTTTGTTCCAGACAAACATGCCAGAACAACGCGTCATCAATTAACCAATTGGAACGCATCTTTCATGTAGTGAACCCGTGGGAAGATCCAGAACAATGGACTGGTAACAGGCGCTTTATTTTTCTCCTCCCCTCGTCTCGCCCTTCGCACTCTTTTCGCGCTTCGCACAAAATGCCACGTTCACCTCGCTTGGCTCATAAAGCGCCTATTATACAGGCTACCTAATATGTAACAAAATAACTAACCGATTTGTAACTAACTTTCAACCATACAGATTTTTATTAACATACTTAACCGGATTTGTAATAACGCTGCGAAAGATTTTGCATTTACTTTGTATAATTCGTAATGATAACGAGTTTTAACTTTAGTAATCTGCCGAACAAAAAAATAGTATATATGTGTGCCGCGTTTGCACTTCCAATGTTCCATTTTATATCAAAACATATCATTTTTGCTTATATTAAAACAAACCAAAAAAACATTTTTGTTATTCTTGTTAGACTTAGGTTAGAAAGCGGGGCAGTTAGAAAATTACCAAGAATTTTATTTAAGCCCCTTGCTAACCTCCCTCCGTTCCCTTTAGAAATTTCCGAACCCATCCTTAGAGGCAGGTAAAGGTATTCATTTTCTATTGGAAACGCACATCAAAATAATAATAATCACTCACCTTTCGCAGCGTTATTACAAATCTTGTTTTTTGTTTATTGCAAATCCGGTTAAGTATGTTATTACAAATCTGGTTAAAAGTTAGTTACAAATCCGGTTAGATATTTTGTTACATATTAGGTTGTTTTTTTATTACAAATCCTTTTGTTATTACATATCACATTGATTTTTATTACAAATCCAGTTGATATTACAAATCCTGCTGTTTTTTACAAATCAGGGTGATACACCTAACTAGTCTACCCGGATTGTTGTATTAGCCACTCTGCTTATACTAAAACGTTGATAACAGAAGACTGATTTACTAGGATGCCGTACTGATTTGTCGGTATCACTGTGGCACCCGTAAGAATTTAATGTCCCGCCCTCTCTTTACTCTGTGCTCGTTTGATTACCGCGTTTATTTCTAGTACTAGAAATACGTGTATTGCAGAACCTCGGTAAGCTTTAGGGTGGGTGGCCCACCAAATGCAAGGAATTTTAAGGCTGCAGAGAAATACAGTCAATCGCGCGACTGAAATATAGTCTATCTCTATGTGGTCGAAGCAAATTGGACCGTGATCCTTCGCTGTAAAAAGGAAGAACTGAAATGGGAGCTTGTAGTGGTGAGAGATTGTTTAGGATGGGTAGGCAAAGTTGAATGGGCCACGTGTTGACCCTATTTGACATTCGTGATTATGGTGAAACGGAAATGGGTGTAAGTGGGTGACTGCAAGGTAGTGGCGTTTGCTTATCTGGTCACATAAGAGTTATCAATGAGAAATACAGTGTACAGGTGTAATTCCTGCCATTTGCGATTACTGTGCGAAGTATATTGCTGGGATGCAAATGTAGTTCTTGATATCAAATGAATGAGTGAGTAAAAAGGTAGAAGTAATGCTGTAGTGAAAACAACAAGTAAATGATAGGTTTTGGAGGAAAACTATTATTTATTGCAACCCTATATTTTTAATAGATCATTATCTTGACAGCTATTGTTCTGTAACAGTAAGATGAACTGAAATTGACAAGACATGATAGGGATGCACGTGATGAGAATAATGAAAGTGATCAGCCCTAACTAATGAATATTATGAGGTGTTCATTAGCACTGAATTTCTGTCGAAAGTGGCAAAAGAAATATGTAAGGGTACATTATTAGTTTTTCTGTATGTACAGGGAACATACACCTTTGCAAGAGTGAATTGGTGTGAGATGGAACAGACAAGTGATGTTCAAAGTGACCAGTTTCTTAATTCTCAAAATGTGTGAGCTTCAACAGACATGGTTGCCGCAGCAATTAGTGCTTGAAATATCCATACTTTTTACTTTTATACTCACAATTCTCCTGAGCAACTGAAATGGCAATGAGTCCAGATAGTGGCCTCCATTCTCCCCTTACAGCCATCCTTCCCACCCATTTATTATGTTTTGAGGAAGGGACATTGAAAGAATATTTTGCCAATGGAACATTTTTCGAATGTGGATTGTAGCAAAAATTCTTCAGGGACTGTGCAATAATTACCTGGAGGCGGGGGTTGGGAAATGGGTGAAATATACCCCATAACTAAGTCATACCCCCCCCCCCCCTCTCATTAAGGAAAAATTATTATAGTCTAGTGTATCCTTACTTAATATATTGAATGTGTTTCGGTGTGGGGATCGACATATCAAATCTTGCGATCGAAATACCAAACATTGCCAAACGGTTTGCATAAAAATTTTCTCTTTATAATTGGTGATTTCTCTCAGTCTATTTTCCTAAATTTATTAACTCAGGAGGTGTTGTAGATATTGCATGTAAGTTTCCGACGGGAAAATCGGCAGGGTATGACAACATTCCCATGTCTATTATAAAACGATCTATTAGCAGCATTTCCTCTCCATTAACACACATTGTAAATCTCTCTATCATTCACGGTATCGTTCCGAATTAATTGAAAATTGTTCGTGTGGTTCCTATTTTTAAAACAGGTGACAAAGCTCTCTTATTAAAGTAATTATAGACCTATTTCAGTTCTACCTTGCTTTTCAAAGTTTTTGGAGTGGATAATTTACAGCCGTATCCTAAATTATCTCAATGACTTCAATGTCCTATGTGATAATAATCAAATGAATATAGCTTTCGAAAAAATCGTTCCCCTAGAGTCGCGCTTATCGATTTGGGTAACAAAATTTCTTCTTCTTTTGATAGAAGAGAACATGCTATTGGAGTATTTTTAGATCTTTCGAAAGCATTTGACACGGTTAATCATGTCATCCTTTTTGACAAACTCGAGCATTATGGGATCCGTAGTCTGGCACCTAGAATGAGTAAAAGTTATTTCTTTGAGAGGAAACAATTTGTCGAATTTAACAATGTTAGGTCTTCCCCACAAGGTATTTCCTGTGGGTGCCTCAAGGCTCTATTCTTGGTCCTATATTTTTTATCCTGTATGTTAATGATTTGAACAACTCTTCCATGCTTGATGCAATTTTGT